TTAATTCATATCAATTATTCTCATGATTTATTTCAATAAATCATTACAAAGTTCACATCATAATTAATTAATTTATTTATTCTTGATTTGGGTCTGTACTCAGGTTCCCAATCAAGACCACACAAATAGTCCACATATTGGATTTATCTGGATTAGACTTATCCAGATTTTGATATTGGATATTAAAAAATATTTTATATCGGCCCAAAGCCCAATAATAATCAAAACAAATTTGTTTAATCGAATAATTATTTAATAATAATTCTAGGGTATGTTTCGGGGCGTTACATTTCTCCCCCCTTAAAGGAATTTCGTCCTCGAAATTCTTCTAATGGTCAACGTTTAACATTTCGTAGTGATCTCACCTTTATCATGACTGTGTCATGTTCATTTGGTTAAACCATAATTACCTCATTGTCCAAACGGATACGTATTCTCAAACTGTCGATGTTATCAAACTCGTTCTTTCTCCAAGAGATTAATAGGCAAGACATCCAACAATCCATTTCGTAGGTTCCCGCTCAGATTCAACAACCATAACTTAAGTTCCTTTGCAAGGTATAACATCGTATTTGGGATCATACTAGACATATTTGTACATTATTTCGTTTATTCACAAATCTCGATTGTATGTCATTAGTCAACAACATTCTTTCTTTGATTGAAAGTCCCTTAGCAGCATTTGTAGTTTTGAATCACACTTGGGGTACCCCATGTTGGTGTACCCCTAGCTTAATTCTTGTTTTAATGATTGGTCTATGTTTTCCTTTCAGAACTTCGACACGGTACAACTCTTTTTTACATGATTTATAATAGGACCATGCTACACTTACACCAAAATATATACCCCATTTGTACACCACAGGCTTGCACAAACATTTCGATGGTTTACACCGACACAAGTGTTGGTGCGTTAATAAATATTCACACGGACACAAATGTTGGTGCGTTTAACAAAAATTAGTTTTACGCCAACACAAAGTGTTGGTGCAAAACTGCGGGGTACAAATTGAGATACAAACCTTGGGGTACAGATAGCATAATCCTTCATAACATTAGTGATAACAATAGAAGGTACTACAGTTTATGTGGGCACTACAAAAGGGTAATAGAGGGTAGCGAGGGAAACTCTGGTGCAATCATTGCAATCATTTCTTTGCAAAGATTATTCCCCAAAGTTACGCAGATTTTTCCCGTTTATTCTTCGCCCAAGGAAGGAGTTCTACACCCACTCATTATTCCTTGCCGAGAATCGTTAATTCTGAATGAAAACATAGTGAATGGAAACATGAAATTTACGCCGGGTATCTTCTCTTCTTCGCCGAAAATTCAGATCTGATTCCCTTCTCCTTCTCCTTCTCCTTCTTCTTTGTTTATCCATGGATATCAAGGTCAAATTTCTCCTTATTTTGCCATTTTAAAGATATCATATCTCTCCTGTGGTTTCTTCATCTCTTCTTTCTTTTCACTACCGCTTGATTTTAGGGTTAGATTTTTAATTGTTTATATGAATTGTTATTTATTCTGTCCTTCATAAATTTCAGGCAAAAAGTTGTAATTCCACGTTATGCATCAACAGCGGTCAGACCAAGGAAGTTGTCATCGGATCAATAATGAAGTGGAATTACTTGGTAAGCTATTATTATCAAAATTCTAATTATTAAATATAGAAATTGTATTATTGGTCAGATTGTATTATTCTCTGACTTTTAATCCTATGCCATATTGGCAGAATTCTCTTTATACATAAAAATTTCTCTAATTTTCCTTCAAATGTCGGATCTAGAGATCGTTTGGTAGTTGTTATCACAAGTCCCAACATTCATGCACCATCTTAACTCATTTTAAACTTTTTGATACTGATCAGTACTTCTTTTTCCTCTCCCCATCCCCATGGCCTAGACTATCCATGCTAGATAAAAAGTACACCCGCAAGGGGGTGTTGGAAGATAATGGTTTGCTTGGGTTTGAAAGTATTAGTTTTAGATGACAACGGTAACCCTTGCAATTGTACCAAAAATGTGGTTTACCCTGAAGTTTTCCAAAAAAAAAATTGGATTTAATTGATACATTTGTACATTCTTTTCAATTTTTATATGCATGAATTTTAGTTTGCATACTCTGTTTATGTTGCATCTAAAATTCTATATTATATCTACACTCGGATGTTTCTCTAACACATGAATGTGTTAGTTTTAATCATTCGAGAGAAAAATTAGTACAATTTTAGAAACTGTACAATGTTCATAACAATACTGAATCCTAACGACCATTTTAGGACCTGTTAAAAGATTCTTTGTACTAATTACATAAAAGTAGTAATCTACCCTAGATGAAGTAAGTACTGACTGATGAGAACCCAAATCCGTGTCAATACTTTTGAAATATCCTAAAGAATGCTGTATGCTATGGATAATTTTAAATACAAATGATTGTTTGGAAGGGATAATAAAGCATCATGTTTAGGACCTTGCTAAAATAAGGTCCTTAAGTGTGACATCCTCATAATCTGTGTCATATATCAATAGTTGCTATATTTTTGATGTCTATATTAGGATGTCTATATTTTTTACATCCTCATCAATAGTTATTATTATTATAACTATTAGGTGCAAGATATATCCTTTACATATATATATATATATATATATATATATATATATATATTCTTTATGTTTCCTTTCAGTTCTGCTAAATGGATGTCTAAAATCTTAAGGAAATATCCTAAAGAATGCTGTACGCTATGGATAATTTGCACCTAAGGAATGCTATTAACATTTAGGATTTAACACCGTAAGTGTGTTTCAAACTATTTTAGTCGCCTTTTTAGAGTGCACGGATGAGAACCCAAATCCATGTCAATGCTTCCATGAGTAAGGTTGCTTCACTTCTTCGTTACTGATTTGTAGTTAGAACAAAGATGTGTGGGTTGTAGTAGTGTGTAGTTAATCCCTTTTTTAGCTCAACAAGGAAAGTGTTCAGTCCTTTCAAGGGGAATCATGACGACACTTATGATCTTCTGTAAGTTACAGGACTCTTGGTGGGATGCCTCAACTTCAACCTCTTAAGTTATCGTGTGATGATATTTCAAGTTCAAAACAAAAAGAATTCCTTGATACAGCCCAATCGAGAGTCGTTGCTACCATAGTTGTCACGGCGGCTAGGCGAGGCTAGGCATTAGTGTACCTTCCAGACGCCTAGGCGAATAGGCGCCCGCCTAGGCGTCCCCTAGGCGAGTGGGTTACGGCGACCTTAATAATTTTATATGTAGTAATGTAAAAACATATAGTATGGAATAAGTAATTAAAGAGTACATAGATACCAACATTATGAAATATATGAATAAATATTGTTTGAAAAAATAAATTTAAAAAGATACTAAAAAAAGTTAAGTACCAGAAGAAGAGGAGAGAGTAAAAAAAGGATAAAAACTTTTCTGGAAAAGTACTCTCTGCCGAGAAGTACTCAAACAAATAAGTGCCAAAAAATATATAAAAACTGAATCTAAAGCTATGCTTATGTATCGGAACCAGAAACAGAAACAATTGAATCAGAGAATCGGAAAAGAAGATGCCTTGATGCGTCGTTCGTTGGAGATAGATGAGGAAACTCAGCCGCGACGTTGATGCAGAGAATCGGAAAAGAAAATGCGAGAGAGAGAGGGTTATCGAAACTGGAGCAGTAGACTCGAAGGGTTGTTGACCGGCTAGGTTTTATTTCAATATCGCAAGTGGGCTTTTAATTTTTTTTTTAAAAAAAATAACGCTGGGCGTCGCCCACTCGCCTAATCGCAGCTTCCAGACGCCAAAAGGACGCCAAGATCGCCCAGGTAAAAAAAAGCTAGGCGTGAGATTAGGCGTCCATATCACCTCGCCCATACGCTTGGGCGACGCCTTGATAAGTATGGTTGCTACCAGGTATTCAGGTATTTCTGACATTTCTAAGAATTCTACACGCACTGTTTTTAGATATATTTCATTCTATGCTTTTTGCATTAAATAGTTTGTCATATGCAGTATGTTATGTAGAGATTACATATATGTGAACTAATATATGATTATTATTAAAAAAGATGGATCTTATGTAGTGTATGGAACTATTGTTGTAGTGAAGTGAACAATAACACTGATTAGTGGTATTTATCATGCAAGTGCAGAAGAGCTATTGAACCCGATGGTGCCATGTATTATTGCATGCATTGCTCATGTCATATATTGAATCTCAGCCAAGGTTCAAGTATAGTCTCTGCTCCAAAATCTGTATTTACTCTCCTTAGTATAGCTTCCCTTGGTATGTATTGAATTTTTTTTGGCAGGCATCTCATCAAGCTCTCTGTTAAAGATGATTATGTGGTACAACTATGTTATTCTTAACTTACGGTATGGCATCCTCCATTTTGCTTACATTGTGTGCCCTGTTGATAGAGAAAACCGATGTTGTATGTACTTTTTATTCTAACTACATGATTAATCTAATACCACGAAATATTTTATTCATCATAACTTTTAGTTTGTTTGTTTGACTTTACCATGAAATATTTAATTCACTTATATAATGGAAAATATTAGGGAATAATTGCACAAAAGTGATAACTAAACTACCATAGTTCACTTTGATTTTTTAGTGTATTTTGATTAAATCTAATATTCAACATAATTATTATATAGAGTATCTATTAGTGTTTTTTCATTGATTTTAGATACTGAGTATCTTTTAATTAAATTAGTCTGTCTAGGAATACACTCTTTAATAGTAGGAGGATATGTTAATAATGTAAATTAAAGGATTTTGTTACATTTTAAAAATGTAAATTTAGTACGTATGTATTTATCACGTTTTTGTATTGAAATTGATCCCGAATCATACGAAACTGATATTTTGGGATCAAGACGATGCAAAATTCTATACCAAACTGAAATATTAGTACGATATCGATACGAGTTAAATACGATGTCATTTCATAACATGCTCACTCCTAATAAACTTGACACATTCCAAATAACTTTTGAATTATTTGGGACTAAACCAAATTTCCACTGGAAATTTCATCTCAAACCAAAAGAAACTAAAAGTTTATGAAAATTTTGCAGAATCCTAGAGATGGCAAGGCCTCATTTATTTTAAATACAACTATGTTTGTGTTATTTGTATACTAATGTAAAAAAAAGGATTCATATTAGAATGAAATTAATTTTGACAATCCAAAGAGTTTGATGACTTATTTAGTAAGATTTCATTACTAAGGATGGTGTATTCAATCTAAATTTTAAAAGATTTTATAATATTATTTAAAATTTGTAAATTATGTAAAATTCATGGATTGTTTTAATTCTACATTGACTTAGATAGATTATACTCCCTCCATTCTCAAAAAAAGTTCCTACTTTGAAAAAGTGGAAAAATAAGACAGTATTAAATTGTAGTTGATTTTCAATTTTGCCCTTGATGTGATGGATAAAAGTAAGATGTGATGGGTAGATTATTAGAGAAAAAGTATGATGTGATATGTAGGATATGAAAAAGTAAGGGTAAAAGTGGTTTTTTAATAGAAGTGGAAGTATTTTGTTGGAAGTGAAAAAAAATGAAAGAAGTGTTTTTGACAATGAAGGGAGTATTATATTTTATTGGCAAGATTTTAAAAGATTGTGTTAGCTTGTTTAAAATCCAAATAATAATGTGGAACAAAAAAAATTACCGTGAAAAAGAAGGGAACAAAAATAAAAATAAAAAGCCAAAAATTGATCAAAAGAAATAAGTTTAGTGTGAAAAAAAAATTGAACTATAAGAAATAAATTGAACAAAAAGTAAAAAAAATTAACGTCAAATCAAAATTGAACAAAAAAAACAATGAATTGAAAACAAAGAATTAAATGTTAAATGCTATACTATTTATTCTACTTTTGATGTGTATAGTATTAAAAATCATATCAAAATATATATTTTTATTCTTTAAATATTTTACATTGAATAAAAACTATAGAATCGGTATTCACTCGCAGTCAACTTTATGTTACACTTTCACGCGTGAAAACTAAGAGAGGATTGAAAGTATTAGTTTTAGATGACAACGGTAACCCTTGCAATTGTACCAAAAATGTGGTTTACCTTGAAGTTTTCCAAAAAAATTTGGATTTATTTGATACATTTGTACATTCTTTTCAATTTTTATATGCATGAATTTTAGTTAGCATACTCTGTTTATGTTCTATCTAAAATTCTATATTATACTCCCTCCGTCCGGAAATGTTCTTCCCATTTGACTTTTCACAGTCTCCAATATTGCGCTTTGACCATTAATATCTATATTTATACATAGATAAATTTTGTAAAAAATTGATATTTGAAAACTATGTTTCATTATGAATATATTGATATTAAATTTACATTATAATACAATGTATTTTTTCCACAAATCGTAGTCAAAGTTTACCAACTTTGACCAAGAAAAGTCAAATGGGAAGAACATTTCCGGACGGAGGGAGTGTCTACTTTTATTTTATAATTATTTACTTAAAATAAAAAATTAGCAGATTTAAAAATAACATGCGTTCGACCCCGTGCGTTGCACGGGTTAAATACTAGTGTTTTGAAAATATATTACTCCCTTCGTTTGGAAAAACCCTTCCCATTTGAGTTTGGGGCAAAAATAAGGAAGTGTTAAATTATAGTTGATTTCCAATTTTGCCCCTGATGTGATGGGTAAAAGTAAGATGTGATGGATATATTATTAGAGAAAAAGTATGATGTGATAGGTAGGGAATGAAAAAGTAAGGGTAAAGTTGTTTTTTAATAGAAAGGGGAAGTGTTTTGTTGGAAGTGGAAGAAATGAAAGAGGAAATGTTTTTGAGAACGGAGGGAGTACTACATACTTTGTAAATGTATTGGAAAAATTTGTGATCATATTAAAATTATTAAATGTTATTGAAAAATATTCCTTAACTGTAATAATACTTGTAACACCCTAATCCGTCCAGGTCTGCAGCCCCTTTTGGACTAAAGTATTTATTTGGTAATCGTGATAATTTAAAACATTTCAAACATTTTTATTTATAAATAATATTCCATACATAATTGTAGATAATACGGAGTGTTTAATAATAATAATAATAATAATAATGATAATGCGGAAGCGACTTTTAAACATGTCTCATAACAACATAATTATTTATTTTGTTTAATGATCCACCACGACTGTCTCGCCCCTTCTGCTGTCAGGAATCAGCCAATCATTCATTCTATCTACCTGCGTGTAGCAAATAAAACACACTACACGCTCAGCGGTGAAGCTGAGTAAGCATATCTAAAGCGTCGAACATCCAAATAAATTGAATCTCAATTCATAATCAACCATTTGATATCATGCACACAATATATGATTCAAACATTCATGATATTCTCAATATTTTATTCCAAGTAATTTGATATTCAATATCTCAACCATGCTCTTAAATTATTCTTAATCTAAGGCCAAATCATTTTATAACAAGCTCTTAGCTATTCCTAGTCTAAGGCAACATTTCTAACCAGGCCCTNGGTATATCTTAGAGTTCTTCTAGATATCCTTAATAATATACATCAATTTCATAATCATCATTATATCCATTTTTAATCATGAGTTAATCATACCAATCAGTAGGTTAATCATTCATAATTGGCCACAATAATAGTTCATCATAATAATCATTTAACATAACATTTAATAACAATTAGCGGCCTAGTCTCGAGTGTTAACACCCGAACTTACCGTCATGCATCACATAATGTTTTAATTTGTTAAAAACATCATTTTTGTTATGAAAAATCATTTTTTATAATAATCATAATCAATTGGTATCAAAAATAGGATTTTAAAGCTCAAAAATAGCAATTTCAAACAAAATTTCGGACCAGAGTTTCGGAAGATCGATCCAGCCCTCTGGATCGATCCAACTAGAAGAAAAACTCCTAGAGGATCGATCCAATGAAGGGGATCGATCCACCCTGCGGATTTTCAGCCACTGTTCATTCGTCTTTAACCTCGGTCCATTTTTCGGGAAAACCATTTTTAGTCACCGAACTTCAATTAAACTATATAGAGGTGTTCTCCAAGGTTCATAGATCATATTAGAGTTATTAAAACATATTTTTAACATCAAATTCAAGGTTTATGATTCTTGGTTCTTCAAACATGTCAAACACAAAACTCAACCAAATGACCATTTATGAACGTAGAAACGACCTATATGAACATTCTAGTCATTAGATATATCTACGGGCTTACCTCGAAGCTTATTGAAGGTTTTGGAAATTTTCCGACGAAATTTCCGGCGACTCTATCTTACTGCTCCGGCGACCTCACAGAAAGATGACAGCACCACTCCATTCTACACACTCAAAGCTAACTCTCAGAAGCAATTTGGAAAGAAATGGTGAAGAATTGGGTAGGAATAGGTGGTCCTTATATAGCCTTAGTGAAGAGGAAGCAGACACGGTGATGACATCCTTTCGACTGTTTCGGCGGCTGAGTGGAGTGGGCTGCTACCTTCTCCGATTCTAAACGTAAGTCCCTGATTGGGACTAATTTGGTCCTAGTCGGGGAACACTTTTTGGTCCAACTTTCTCCGAATTGAAATCCGATTGAACCGTTGGGATCAGACAGTCAAACTCTACATAATGATATGATTTTCATTATTTATTGACAAACCTTAGAATTTACTTATTTTTGGGTCCTTCTCAGTAATTAATTAATTATAAATTAATTAACTCCGATAGGCCTATTTTTTTGGGGCGTTAGAATACTGATCTCTTCAAGATCTCAGGTAAAGTATGAAAATTTTGTTAACCTTTGCATGTTTGTGACTTTCATGTTTCTTTTATGTGCTTATTGATGAGTGTGCTCTTCTATCTTTTTCCTAAGACTATATTGTTTTCTAAATCACATGTATTTCTCTTATTGGCTCCTTTTATTCTTTCACTGCAGGCAATTGTTAGTTATGTAACAATGCAGTTTCAACTTTGTACCGTGTTTTTCACTTTCTCTTTAGGCACAAGAACACATTACTTTGGACGGACTATTCTTCATGGTGGAGCTAGGGTATGTTTGCTATTAAGCTATATATGCACATGTTACTCTCCAACTAACATTAGATTATCAAATAACTTTTATTATTTTCAACCGTATCAAGCAACTGGTAGGGGCTTTGTTGTTCGACACATTGAGTTTTCTGAGAACTATAGGCTCTATTTCCGCAGTCGTTTTGCCAAGGGGTCTCTCTCTGTCTGTCTCTCTCTCGTATCCTGTTCTTTTGTAATTATGTCCCTATGGTTCCGCATACGCATGCATTTTAATATATTATTCTTATCCCTACTCAGGGAAAGCTCTAAATATTGTTATTTCACTTTTTCAAAATGGAGATTGTACTTTTGTTGGTTGTATACCTTGCGTATGGCTTTAGCACACGTGCTTTATCGTACATTCTTCTCACAATTAGCAGCTGGTTCTTGGCTATTTCTTGGCTATTTGCACCATATTTGTTTAATCCATCTGGCTTTGAGTGGCAAAAGTAAGTTTACCTCACTATGCTTCAACACTGTACATAAGCTTTTGTGTTGTTTCATTTTAAAAGTTCATTTTTCGGCCCATTGCAGGAAGGTGGAGGACTTCAGAGACTAGAGAAACTGGCTTCTGTATAGAGGTGGAATTGGAGTTAAAGGAGAAGAAAGTTGGGAGTCTTGATGGGATGAGGAGCTGGTATAGTAATGTTTATTCTAGCTTAATGCAATCTTGCCTATTTCAGTTACTTTTCTTATCTTCTCTACTTTCTTAACAGGATCATATTCGAACATTAGGGGGAGGCTGATGGAGACCATTCTTAGTTTAAGGTTTTTTATATTTCAATATGGCATTGTATACAAGCTACATTTACAGGGAGATAATACATCAATGGATGTTAAGCGTGCCTTCCTCAATGGTTTTATTAAAGAGGAAGTGTATGTTGACCAGTCCCCCGAGTTTGAAGACTTTGAGTATCCTTATTATGTCTTCAAACTCAAGACTTTGAGCATTCCTTTTCCCTTTTCAAGTTATGGGCTTCAAAGTGCAAATCTTAATTTCATAAGACCTTACCATTTTCATTGGCAGTCAGATAATCATAATGCTTTGACCGTTGCAAGCTTCTGGGCTCCTGTTTTTTTAGTAAGCATCTATCATGTTAACTTGATGATTTGCTTTTCCCTTTTTTTTCCTGTGAGAGTTTTTTAACAATATGGTTCACTATAGTACAACAACAACAATTACCCAGTATAAAAACATAAGGTTTTTTCGTTAGACACTCAATGCATTGCTGCATTTACTACTAAAAACATCTTTGAAAATAAGAAACAAGGAAAGTATAATGTGCCATTTTGATTCAGTCTATTATGTGCCCGAAACTAAAGCATTGTTAATGATGATGATACAATCAACAATATCTTAGAGTTATTATTAATAGTTATTATTATTAGTGATTAAGATTGTTGTTATTATTATTATTATTATTATTATTATTACTATTATTATTATTATCATTCTTCTTATTATTATTATTAGTATTATTATTTTTATTATTATTATTATATTATTATTATTATTATTATTATTATTGTTAGTAGTGGTAGTAGTAGTAGTAGTAGAAGTAGTAGTAGTTTACTATTACTACTTTTTTGAAAGATTAAAACTTGTATTTAGTTTTGTGTTCTGTTCACAATTTTAGCTAAACCATAGAGACCACCCATCTCCACTCTCAATTTATCGTTTTTTCTCTCGTTTTCTCATTCTCTCAACTTCTCTCCATCTCCATCCACCCAAAATTTCATCGTCGTTCCCTCATTTTCTCTCCATCTCTACGTACAGCTCATCGTCAGACAGGTATTAGATCTAAAAACTAGGCTCTTCTAAAATATAGATCTGAATTATATTTTTTGAAGTTTGCATTTAGCTTTTAAATTTTGAAACTAAAGTGGACGAGGCGACAGAAGGGCCTAAGGTGAGATGGAGGATGTTGTTGAAGTCTATGTTGGGTCGGGCGGTGTAGGATGTCGGGGTCGGGGGTACAGCAGTGGCTTGGGGGGAGAGGGTTGGACAGCGGATGGATGACAGAGGGTTGTGCAGCAGCAGCAGAATGGGGGGTGGGG